GTGATTGAGTAAATTTTTTTTTTTTTTTTTGAGACGGAATCTCACTCTGTCACTCAGGCTGGAGTGTAATGGCGTGATCTCGGCTCACTGCAACATCCACCTCCCAGGTTCAAGTGATTCTCCTGCCTCAGCCTCCTGAGTAGCTAAGATTACAGGCATGTGCCACCAATGCCTGACTAATTTTTGTATTTTTAGTAGGGTCAGGGTTTCACCATGTTGATCAGCCTGGTCTCGAACTCCTGACCTTGTGATTCACCCACCTTGGCCTCAAAAAGTTCTGAGATTACAGGCATGAGCCACCGCAGTCGGCTTTTTTTTTTTTTTTTTTTTTTTTAAGGCCGATTGCAGTAACTTTCTTTTAATGGGTTTTCAGACTCACAGAAAGGGGCTCTTTAGATGAGGCTGTGCCCTAGTCAACTGTCTTCACTGTGGAGTCCTAATCACTGATTTTGTTCTGTAGATCATGAAGATTCATTCAAATTGTCTTTGCTTCCATTCCTTCGTAGTACGGTACTTGGTCTGAAACTACATCCCTCTTTCTCTAGTGCGTTGTATTCAAACAGGTTGCTACTGCTTCTCTGTCATCATTAATCTTTTTCATCACCTTCTTATTCCTCTTAGCATATTCGGGGTGTCACATATTATCTTCTGTGCCTAGGGATGGGAAAGTACAGGCAGGTATCAAGAAGAGAGAAATCCTCCTGTGAATGGCAGGTACTCAGGCCTGACCTGCATGAACCTGCAGCTGTGCCCAACCCTTTGGGTCTGCCGAGAGAAGTCTGCCAGGGACAACACGCCACCCAACACCAGAGGCTTACATCAAAAAGGCCACACCAGAAGCAGGAATAGAACATGAATTCGCAACCTTAGGCTGAACGGCTCTCACAGCAATTCTTGCCCATGATGCCAACATGGCTTCCTGAGCTGAAGTTATCACGTCAAATGTACTAGTCTCTTCTGCTTTCTCATTCATCTCACGACTTTTCTAAAGCCTTGCTTTCACAGTCACTGCCTTGCATTTCCTCGACTGTGGCTGTAATCTGCTCTCCTGTGACATTTCAGGAACATATTGCTGTTATTCAGGGTAAGCATGTGTATGGAGCCTCAGATACACTTCTTTTTTTTTAGATGGAGTCTTGCTCTGTCTCCCAGGCTGGAGTACAGTGGTGTGATCTCGGCTCACTGCAGCCCCTGCCTCCTTGTTTCAAGTGATTCTTCTTTCTTAACCTCCCAAGTAGCTGGTACTACAGGTGTGCACCTCCACGTCTGGCTAGATTTTTTTTTTATGTATTTTTAGTAGAGACAGGGTTTCACCATGTTGACCAGGCTGGTCTTGAACTCCTGACCTCAGGTGACCTGCCAGCCTTGGCATCCCAAAGCACTGGGATTACAGGCGTGTGTAATGCCCAGCCCTCAGATAAACTTCTATTTTCTTGCCATTAGGACTCAAACCTCATTGTTGATACCAGTTCCACAAAGTGTCCCAGCATACCTCATTAATGGGAGGCAAAATGGTCGGCAAGGGATAGACTGGTATTCTGCATCTAGCTTTTGTGTAGCTGTGAATTGTTCATTTGTTTGAGGTAGACGAACTTTATTGGGTTTCTTCAGCTTCTCCTGTTTGACATCAGCATTGAAGAAACAGTTGGTTCTACTTGTTCTATATTTGAATCAATTTTTTTTTTTGAGATGGAGTTTTGCTCTTGTTACCCAGGCTGGAGTGCAATGGTGCCATCTCAGCTCACCACAACCTCTGCCTCCTGGGTTCAGGCAATTCTCCTGCCTCAGCCCCTGAGTAGCTGGGATTACAGGCAGACACCACCATGCCCAGCTAATCTTTTGTATTTTTAGTAGAGATGGGGTTTCACCATGTTTACCAGGATGGTCTTGATCTCTTGACCTCGTGATCTACCGGCCTCAGCCTCCCAAAGTGCTGGGATTACAGGCTTGAGCTACCGCGCCCGGCCATATATTTGGATCATCTTTAACGGGCACCAATGTCAAAATCATACTTTCCTCATCATCTGTTTCCCCCTCAAAGAAATTCTTGTTGCCACTAACAAAATTTGAGTCTGACATTTTCGGCAATACCCCTGTCTTGTCCATTCGGTGCTACGTTTTTTTAAAAAAATCAAACTGGCTGCGGTGACTTATACCTGTAATCCCAGCCCTTTGAGAGGCCCAGGTGGTGGATGGCTTGAGTCCAGGAATTCCAGACCAGCCTGGGAAACATGGTGAGACCTCCTGTCTCTAACCAAAAATACCTGTTTGTTTTTTGAGACAGGGTCTTGCTCTGTCACCCAGGCTGGAGTGCAGTGGCACAATCTCAGCTCACTGTACCCTCAACATTCCAGGCTCAAGTGATCCTCCCATCTCAGCCTCCTGAATAGCTGGGGCTACAGGTGCATGCCACCGTGCCCAGCTAATTTTTAAAAAAATTTTTATAGAGACATTGTTTCTCCATGTTGCCTAGGCTGGTCTCAAACTCCTGGGCTCAAGCGATCTGCCCTCCTCTGCCTTCCAAAATGTGATTACAGGCATGAGCCACTGCACCCAGCTGAGTGAATGTTTTTCTCCTGCTCTCCTGGTCTGTCTAAATCACATCCTTCTCCCAAAGTGTTCACACCTCTGTCTTAGCCTGTCTCGTGCTCAGCCTACCCCAGAGTCAGTGTGGAATGGATCCTTCTTGTGGAGGTAGAAATCTTTAGTTCCCATGTGGCTTTCTGCCCCAGCTCAGCAGCTGCAACTTGCAGTGGTAAATAATTGCTCCCTGATTTCAACAGAGACTTGAATAAGATCTCCAGCAAAGGAATTGGCTCTTATTTATATATTATCTTACCTCTCTGTGTCCACTACAATGGTTTACATACAGTAGGGGGTCGAATAAGTGCTCATTGAATTAAGCAGAGAACATTTAGGAATCACCTACTGATTGCCAGACACCACACCTGGCCCGCACTTACTGAGGCCTTGATAGGCTCCAGGGACTGTGCTAGCCACATCAACCTCACCACAACCCCATGAGATAGGCTCTATTATTATGCCCACATGCAGTTAAATGTGAGGTGCAGAGACCACATAACTTGCCTAACTAGTGGGGCTGTGGGTCTAGGCAGGCAGCCTGGCTCCAGAGCCGACGCACTTAACTGCTTTACCAGGCTGTTTCATGATGGTGTGCTTGACAATGAAACTTCTGGAATTAAGCCATTCCAATAACAGCCACATCAAAAAAAACTGAATGACTCTAAATGAATCTCTCCAACAGACATCCACAATAATCCTGCCCCACCCAGCCCCAGGGAAGATGGGGCTCAGGACTGGAGGTGAGGGATGGAACAGGATGCCACTGCACAGATGACTTGGAAAAGAAAAAGCTGCAAGTTGAATGATCATGTTTGTCAGACCTGGCAAAAACATTCTGTACCTATCCCTTGAGAGGTTTGGCAGCTGCAATTTCCCAAAACAGAGTTGTGCAAGAGCAATGGCTGGGTGCATTCGTGGCCTTGGCACTGGACCACAAATGGGTCAGTGCCCACATCACAGCCTTGCTCATGCCTTATGAGGTCTCTGTCAGATTCTCTCCCCAGAAAATGGCACTTCAGGCACCAACCCACCCTCAGTGGGGTGGTGTCTCCATAGCATGAGCCCCCCAAGGAGGCTCAGATCTGCCCTCTGAGCTTGGTTTGGTCTCCATGAAGACACTTGCCACACTGCATGATGAGGCTTGCCCGCCTCTCCCTCCACAGCCAGCCAGGAGCTGGGCACCTCCAGGTTCCCTCGGTCACCAGTACAGGCAGCCGCATGTTGGAGAGTTGCTCCAAATACCAACTGAGTTGGAAAATATCTCCTGGTCCTGAAACCAGAGAGGAACTGGCAGAGGCCATTTTATTTCACCGAATAATTCCATGTGACTGCTTCAAACCTAGGTACTTATTAAAAATGTAAGTTTCCTGGGCCCACTTAGCCCTAAAAAAATCAAAAAGAGGGCTGCAGGGGTGGGGGAAGTAGAATACTGGCTTTCGTACTTTTCCAACCCGCCCCCGCCAAGTGATTCAACTGCGCAGCCAGTGAGGCAGTCCTTCAGATGAATGAGGCATGACTTGTCCTCTGCTCTACCCTCTCCAAAGGGAACATGGGCTTCTCCCCTCACACAATCACAGTCACACACTGGTCTTCTTTCTGTTCTCTAAGCGCCAGGCTCTTCCCCACTTCTGGACCCTTGCTAGAGCTGTGCCCCCTGCAGGAATGCAGCTCTCAGATCCAATGGAAAGAGTTCTTCATTCAGGCTCACCCCAAGTACATTCAGTCACAGCACCTTTTTTTCTTTTTTTTTTTTGGAGATGGACTCTCACTTTGTCACCCAGGCTGGAGTGCGAGGGCACGATCACGGCTCACTGCATCCCCTGCCTCCCAGGTCCAAGTGATTCTACTTCCTCAGCCTCCCAAGTAGCTGGGATTACAGGAACCCACCATTGTGCCCAGCTAATTTTTATTTTTAGTAGAGACGGGGTTTTGCCATGTTGGCCGTACTGGTCTTGAACTCTGGACCTCAGGTGATCTGCCTGCCTTGTCCTTCCAAAGTGCTAGTATTACAGGTGTAAGCCATCGTGCCCAGCCTTAGCACCTTCTTTATAAGATTCTTTATCATCTGTCTCCCCAGCACCCCACAAGTGCCCTGTTCCCCTCACCACCGAGAATCCCATGCCTGTGTATGCAGTAGGTGCACCATAGGTGGCTGTTGCGTATAGGCGGTGTTACAGATACACAAAAAGGGCAGCTACTACCAGTTAACTGTTGCTAGAGGGTGGCAGAATAAACAACCTAGTTTGCCATAGTTCACAAAGGAGAGCCAATGCCTGGCAGGATCTCGGGACACCTTGCACCCAGACCCCCATGGCCATGGTTCCCTCTCTGAAATGCCCCACAATATGGGTTCCCTACAACCCAACTAGAACCAAGTGCGATCTACCCAACAACAAATGAGATGCCAAGAGCCAGAATAGTCTAGATGAATGTATTGCCATTCACATATTTCATAGAAAATGCAGCAAATGGGTCAGCATCGTACAAAAGAAAATCCAGGTTTATACGGGTTGCTTTATTTACATCTGGGAGCAAGGCTGTCCTTGCATCAGGTGCAGCAGCTGCACTTGTCTGACATCCCTTTGCAGATGCAGCCCTGGGCACACTTGGCACAGCCCACAGGGCAGCAGGAGCAGCAGCCTGGGGAAGAAGAGAGAGTGAGAGGTCAGAGCAGACTCCCTCCCCCAGCAGAGGCCGGGCTTGAGCCCTGCCTCTGGCCCCAGCTGACCCTCATTTCAGGATGGTGTGGCTTTGTCAGGAGACAACTGGTGGATCTTTGGGATGAGAGCTTCTGTGAAAAAGCTGCCCAGCCCCACCTGAGTCCAGGACAGGGCAGAAGAGTGGACGGGCAGTGATTGGGGGTATGAGAACAAAGGGAGGCCAGTTCCCCTAAAACCCACACTTAAGTTAGGAAAGTCTTCGCAATCCAACAGGTGGCAAACCCCTGACATAGCAGTTCTGGGGAGGGCCAGGGTAGCTCTGGGCTGCCCCTGCAGGAAAGGGCTGCATCATCAGATTAGAAACCACACGGGGTCTCCAAGATCCTGCGCCTGAAGTGCTTCAGGACCCTGAAGGGTTAAGAAGACTGCATCAGGAGGCAGGAGACCTAGATTCACGTTCCAGCTTTGTCCCCAGCACTGCCTGGTAATGTTTCCGGGCCTCAGCTTCTAGTTTAGTAAGGAGAGGCTAGGACTCACCCATTTTTAAGGCACTTTGAGGTCTGATTCTGAATCAGGTGAAGAGGGAGGTGTTTGTGGAAGCTGGTCATTGGCCCACCCCTGCCTGAGGAGTTCTGGGTTCCCCACTCTAAACTTGGCCCATTGGCCAGATTCTCAGGGAAGGCCCCACACTCACTCTTCTTGCAGGAGGTGCATTTGCAGTCTTTGCATTTGCAGGAGCCAGCACAGCCACAGGAGCCACCTGCAAGGAAGAGAAAAAGGCAGTGAGCAGTGAGTGAAATGCAGAAGGCACAGGGGTAGTCATTAACTCTTAGTCATTAACTCCTCTGTGGGGCCGGGCCAGCACTTACAGCTCCTTTCCTACTCATGGGAGAGGAAGAGAAGCCCCATCTCCTCTCCCTTCATGCTGGGAAGGGCAAATGTCCTCTTGCTTTTACTCCTTAAGCAAGGTTCCAGGCTCCAGACACAGCCCAGGAAGACTGGGACCGGAGGCCCGAAGCTTCTGTCCTGAACTCCGAAGAGGCAATGGTCCGCTGCCTTCCATCCACCCTGGCTACTCAGAGCCTGGTCAGAGCATTGGAGTTCAGCCAGCAGCCCCCTGACCAACTGGGTGACATGGAGCAGCACAGCTTTGGGCCTCAGTACCCTCAACTCTGATTTAGAGGCACAGGGAGGAGGGAAGTGGTCTCAGGGACATGATCGGGAAGAAAGCGCTTAACGAAGTAAAGGAGTCCCCTTCAGCTCAGAATTTAAAATGCGACTTTCTCAAACCCAGAAACAGTGTGTACTGTGCCTGGGAAGCGAGCATCCTAAGGGGCAGAGCCAGGTGTCCGTTACCAGGTGAGCAGGAGCAGTTGGGGTCCATCTCGAGGCAAGGAGAAGCGGGAGTTCCCAATCCAGAAGCTAACACGAGGCGAAAGGCGTGGTGACGTCCAGGAGCCGGCGGCTCCCTTTATAGCCGGGGAAGGGGTCGGGCGCAGAGGCCCCACCCCCGTCCTTGCACCCGCCCGGCAGATTCTGCAATGCCCGCGGTCTTGCTCTGGGCTGTGCGCAGAAGGCGGGCCGGGTGCACCATCCCACGGGCTGAGCGCAGTGCGCGCCGCGGAGCCCACCCCTTTGGCCCCACCCCTTTGGCCCCAGCTCACTGAGAAACTGGCAGTACGTGTTGTCCCTGCCGTCCTGCCTGCCTTCCCAATCTGGCATTACCTGGCACTCTCTCTCTCCTAGGAGTGCTGGGAAACTCGGAATCCCGCCTGTCTACACACCCCCAGCCCCCACTCCACTGTGTGTAGCTTTGCATTTCCCAGAGTCACTGGATCACGTCCCCGGATCGGCGGAAGCGGGCGAGGGAGCGGTGTGCAAACGAGAAGCCAAAGACGGGACCCTCGGATTTCCTGCATTGCCGGTCTCCGTCCCAGTTGCCACCTCCGTCTGTTGGCCACGTTTCTCCTATGTCTAGGAACAGAACAGACACAGGGCTCTACCCGCTTCCTTCCATTCTCCACTCTTGAGAGGCTGAATGGGCACATTTTTTCCGGGTCCTCCTTTGCATAAAACTCTCCAGGGTCTCCCCACAGCCTAGCCGGGCACCCCTCTACAGGATGGCAGTTTGGAAAATGTGGGATGCTCCCAGAAGAGAGATCATTTTAGGTGACATGAGAATCCTGGATTAAATGAAAATTCAAGAAACCTGGATGTTTTTCCTTCCGTATTCCTATTACTCTACATAACCTGAATCCATGTTAGTCACTTGGCATCCATATTCCTAATCTGGACAATGACAATACAAGGAGGTCAAGTGCCCTGGCCCAGGGTCAGAGGGCCTCAGAGTGGCACTGCTGGCTCTGAATCCTCTCAGCTTCCCATGGAAGAGAGGGCAGTGATGAAGCTTCCCTTTGGCCTAGGTATCATCTCTTAGTGCTTGAAATCTTTAAACAAAACCGAGCAACAAGGTCAGTCCTGGAAGCAAAACAGAGATTCAGAGGGGATATAAATAGGGAGAATTTGATGGCAACATTCCATGTCTGGAAGTTAAACTGATTCTTTTTTCCGTAGTGCTAATGAGTTTGCTTTTCATACAAATGTATCTAAGGAAATAGGAATCATTTAAAAGAAAAATGTTGCATCACATATTGGTGCAGGTGGTAGCGGAACTGTCAGGCATCCTTCCGTTTCTGTTATGGGGACAGGGACTGCCTTGCTGATGGCTTTATATTTCTGGTGTGAATCCCTGTTTTGTGGGAAGAGGGTAAGGACCCTGTCAGGACCAAGGGCAATGCTCTTGTGGCTGGTGAGAAAGACTAAGGACACACAGGGAGGGACTCCAGGCCTGGCTTATTTGTCTGGAGTAAAAATGTCATCTATCTATGCCACTGAGATATTTGGGCTGTTAGCACCAGATACCTTAGACTGGATACCTTAAAATGCAGAAATCTATTTCTCTCAGCTCTGGAGGCATGGAAATCCAAGGTCAAGGCACCAGCATATTTGGAGTCTTGTAAGAGCCCGGTTCCTCATGGATGTCTCCTTCCTGCTGGGTCTTCACACAGTGGAAATGGTTGAACAAGCCCCCTTGGGCTTCTCTTAAGGCACTAATCCCATTTATGAGCACTTTGTCCTCCTATTGCAGTCATCTCCCAAACCTCCCCCCTCAATCCCAACACTTTGAAAATTAGATTTGCATACATGAATATTGGAGCCACACAAGCATTTCAGCCAGAGCAGCCATGAATCATAATAACAAAATAATAGTTAATATTATAGATCACTTGCCATGAACAGGGCACCATTCTAAATTCTTTATACCTATTAAATCATTTATTTCTACAAGTCAGACCCCATTACAGTCCTGTGCTGCTTAGTGAGGGGAATACATTCTGAGAAATGCATTGTTAGGTGATTTCATGGTTGTAAAAATATCATAAAGTGTATAATAACAAACCTAGACATTATGACCTACCACAGATCTAAGCTTTGTGATGCTCCTAGGCTTCAAACCTGTACAGCATGGTACTGTACTGAATTCTGAAGGCAGTTATAACATAGTGGTAAGTATTTGTATATCTAGATGTAGCTAAACATAGAAAGGTTCAGTAGAGTTACCTTATAACCTTATAGGACCACTATACCATATACAGTACGTCTGTAACTAAGATGTCCTTACACAGCGCATGATGTATTATTATAGTCTACCCTTTCACAGTGCAGGAAACTGAGCCAGAGAGAGATTGAGTCACCCAGGTATACATGATGACACATCACACAGGCTGACTGTAGGATAATGCCCTCAACCACAACCCTCTGTCACTCTGCCATGTGACACATGAAGACACTGATTCTGACAAGGAGGCACAGTGGGAAGAGCACTGAGCTGGCTGTCAGAGCGTCTGCATAGCTGTGTGTCCTCTCTGAGCTTCAGTTACTCAGCTGTCAGGTCAGGGGCACAATCAGGATAACTAACCATGGGCCCTTCCAGCTCTGGACTGCGAGGGGCCAGGCTTAGCATCTGCTGACAGACAGCTTCCACTATGGCGAGGGCATGAGGACGGCCATGGCATAGATTCATTCGTGCCTTTACTTCTGAACTGTGTGACGTTGGGAAGATTGCTTAACTCTTCTAGAAGACAGTGCAACCCCTCTAGAAAACAGTATCATCTCACCAAACCCTGTGCATTCACTGTCTCTTTGTGTGAAGATCAGAAGACTTGAAAGGTGGGAAAGCCTTGTTCTCTGAATGCTGGAGCAGTGTCTTATCCTGGAGAGCTGGTGCAGGAGGTCATCCACATGCCCTTGAGACCAGATCAGCAAGACTCCAGATCCATCTCTAACTTCCAGTCCACATAATACCTCCAGGAAGATGAACCTTTTCCAAGGGGCTTGATGGGAGCTAACAGGATTGTCTGTCCGGAAAGCCCATGTGGACAAATAATTATAATAGCACTGTTCAGTAAGCCCTAGGCCACTAGTACCAGGTCACTGTCCCATTTAACCCCTATATGGAAATATAATCTCCTTTATACAGATGAAGGAATGGAAGCTCAGAGAGGTTAAGTGACTGGTGCAGGCCACACAGCCAGTAAGGAGTGAAGCAGGCTGTGAACCAGTTGTGTGACACTAAAGCCTGCACTTGGCCCAGGCTACCTTCTGAAATCCCTCTTCACAAAGAGCACCTGCAACCCATCTAGGTCTTGACTCCTGGGCCTCCTGTCTCATCTTCCTTCTGATTGAACATCAAGTAACAATTCCCTGAGCAGATAGCTGGAAGGACCAGCTGTTGGTAGCAATGATCAGTCCTCATCCTTCTCAATGACTACCACATGCCTTCAAACTGCAGAATATGCCATCAGCCCTGCATAGGTGGAGTCAAAATACTTCACCTGGGAACTTTAATTGCTGTCTATAGTCAGCTTGCCAGGATAATGCTGGACACTTCGCTCCATCTCACTATTCACTGTACTGGCCTGAAGTAACCAAGGGCTGGAATTTGAAGGAGGAGATGCAGCCTGACCTTGGGAGAAACTTCCAAAGATTCAGAACCAACTTAGAACAAGGAGCTCTCAGATGTAGCAAGAGTTCCATTAGTGACATGGGGCAGGTCAAGACTAATAGTTTTTTTTGGGCATGTCAAGGCCAGCACTGCTGAAGGTGTGTTATCCACGCACTGGGGCCAGTCTGTGAACTGTTCCCAGTCTGAAATACACACCCTAGAACAAATATGCAATGTTTGTAAATGCTTTTATTTTTCTGTGATTTTGTTTTTCATATGTGTATTTAAATATAGTCATATATACATACATTTGATTTTCATAAGTATTTTATTTTCATATATTTATATTAATAATTTGCCTATTAAATATAAAAAGTAGATTTTGTTTTTATATTTCATACTAATTCATTTTAGTTCACTTTGCCAAAGCTTAGGTCTGTTACAGATGCCCATGCCACTGTATCTCTTACATGTATAATGCCTTTTTTTTTTTTTTTGAGATGGAGTTTCCCTCTTGTCACCCAAGCTGGAATGCAGTAGCATGATCTCGGCTTCTTGCAACCACTGCCTCTTAGGATCAAGTGATTCTCTTGCTTCAGCCTCCTGAATAGCTGGAATTACAGGCACTTGAAATCACTCCCAACTAACTTTTGTATTTTTTGTAGAGATGGGGGTTTCATCACGTTGGCCAGGCTGGTTTTGAACTTCTGACCTCAGGTGATCCACTCACTTTGGCCTCCCAAAACGCTGCAATTACAGGTGTGAGCCACCATTCCCAACCTACTGTATAATGCTTTTACATTTTTTAGCTGAGATAGGTAATGTGATTTGCCTTAAGACACTGTGTAAGATGATACGATGATAGCACACACGTGTCTGGTCTCAATGCATTCCCTCACTCCATCTCTGTTTGGTGTCAGGTTCCTTTATCCAAGGCACATAATGTAAGACAGAGCCAGGATATAGTCAACTTGTCTTATGATTAACATATTTTATTTTATTTTATTTGAGACAGAGTTTCGCTCTTGTTACCCAGGCTGGAGTGCAATGGCGCGATCTCGGCTCACTGCAACCTCCGCCTCCTGGGTTCAGGCAATTCTCCTGCCTCAGCCTCCTGAGTAGCTGGGATTACAGGCACGCACCACCATGCCCAGCTAATTTTTTGTATTTTCAGTATAGACGGGGTTTCACCATGTTGACCAGGATGGTCTCGATCTCTTGACCTCGGGATCCACCTGTCTTGGCCTCCCAAAGTGCTGGGATTACAGGTGTGAGCCACCGCGCCCGGCCCCATATTTTATTTTTGAAAAAAGCAAATGTCCTACTGGGTCAGGATTGTATGGAAAACAATTCTGGTTTGGACACTTTCTACCTCTGGGAGCAGGGCTTTCCCCACATCAGGCATAGCAGCTGCACTTGTCCGACATCCCTTTGCAGACACATCCCTGGGCACATTTGGCACAGCCCATAGGGCAGCAGAAGCAGCAGCCTGGAGAAGAAGGGGAGAGTGACAGGTCACAGAAGACTTGACCAAGCACCTCCCTGCCCCAACAGCAGGCCTGGCCCAAGCTCACACCCAGACCCAGAGGAGCCTTAGTTCAGGCTGGTGTGCTCTGTCAGGAGACAATGCATCAATTTTTGGAGTGAAAGTCTTCCTATTGTAATAACCTACCCTGGGCTAGCATAACGGACTCCATTTTAGCTGTAAACTCCAACCTGGCTTCCCCCTCCTTATCACAGCCCCTTTGGGTGCATAACTGGGTCATGCTGCACTTGGAAGCATTGAAGCATACTGTTCTTAACACTTGTATCCTGCTTGTCATACTTCCCCCCACCCCCCTATTGTAAGGAAAAAGTTTCCCTTTGATCATTGTGTAGAAGGAACCTGATTGCCCCCTTCTTGGTAATTGTATGGAAACCACTTGTGCCCGCAGACCTTCCTCTAACCTGCTTTTCTGCTTCTGTAAAATTCCACTCCCCTCCTCTACCTAAATCAAGGTATAAAAGATAATCAGGCCCCTTCCTTGGGGCTGAGAGAGAATTTTGAGCATTAGCCATCCGGTCGCCTGCTAATTAATAGACTCTTAATTTGGAACTCAGAGTGAGATGCGTTCCTCCTAACTCGCTCAGTTACAACACTATGAAAAAGATGCTCAGCCCCACCTGAGCCCAGGACAGGGCAGAAGACTGGACAGGCAATGACTGGGGTCTGTGGGGAAAAAGGAAGGCCAATTCCCCAGGTCCATACACTTCTGTGAGCAAAGTCCTCAAGTATCAGGTCTGTGCTTGGCCAGCTGCTGCATTCTTGTGTCCTCAGTTTCTCCATTGTAAGAATGAAGGTTGGGTGGGGAGCAACCATCTCTAATGTTCTTCAGCTCTGATCCTGAATTCGTTTCAGGGGATGTGGGTGGTTGGCTTGCTCCTGCCTGTGGACATCTGAGATCCCTCCTCTGACTCTGCCCAGCCCCCAGATTCCCAGGGAAGTCCCCATGCTCACTCTTCTTGCAGGAGGTGCATGTGCACACTTTGCATTTGCAGGAGCTGGCACAGGTGCAGGAGCCACCTGCAAGGAAGAAAAAGGCAGTGAATGGTGAGTATGGTGCAGGGTTAGGAGCAGCCCCTCAGCAGGCTCCTGCTCAGTGCACGGGAAACCTGGTACCTTGTTCCACGCAGGCACACAGAAGCCCAGCCTCCGTTTTCTCCCCCACAGGCTCGGATGGGCAGGTGCACACCTAATTTGACTCCGCAAGACCTTATGTCAGTAATCCCTAAGAGGCAATGCTCCCTGCCTCCCATCCATCTCAGGCAGCTCTAATGCTGGGTCAGAGCCCCGGTCCCAGACCAGGACCCCACTGGCTATCAGGGTGACCTGGCAGTTTTGAGTCTTAGTCCTCTCGCCTCAGAAATGGGAGGCACTGGGAAGATGGTCTAAGTGGTGATGAAGACGCTTGACGGCGGAAGCACCAGAAGTGCAAAGTAAAGGAGCCCACTTTAGGAAGAGCTAACATGCACCTCCCTCCTGCCCCAGGGACATGCTGTTCTCTGGCATGAAAACGGAGATCGTAAGCCCCGAAACGCGGCATCTCTTACTACTGGAGCAGGAGCAGTTGGGGTCCATTTCGCGGGGAGGTGAAGCTGGAGTTTCTAAGCAAGAGGAGAAGCAGAGTAGCAGTTGGGAGGCGTGGTCAATTCTAGGAAAAGCGCGCGCTCAATTCACTGTCAGAGGAGCGGGCCGGGTGCAGAGCACTCCTTCCGACCCCCACGCGGAATCCTCAGCGCCAGCTGTCCTCGCTTGGGCTGTGCGCAGCAGGCGGGCCGGGCGCACCATCCCCTGAGTGTCCCAGGGTGGGCCCCCGGAGGCCGCCCCTTTGGCGCCCGCTCGCGTGGGAGGGGCTGTGCTGCCGGAGGTACGCGGCGCCCCTGCCACTGTGAGGGCCATTTCCCATTCCCAGGTGGTCGCGCTATCCACCCACTCCCCTCCTTCCAGTCCTACTCTAGCTACGGCCCCGCTTCGCCTCCTGAGTCCGTGTGCAGCTCCATCCTCGTACTCACCTTTTGCTTATGCAGGAGCCGGGAGCAGACCTAGCGAGCTGTGTGCAGATGGGCGGCGGCGGAGGTGACTTTTGCTTCTCCCCTGCCCTCCTCCCCGCGCATTGCCTGTCACTCTTTCCACTTAGGACCCTCAAACTCGTTCCCCCTGAACACAGAACGCGGCGACCACGCGTCGGCCCCTCTCTCTTCCTTTCTTGCTCCTAGGAGGTGATCGCGGGCACATTTGTCAGGGTCCTCCTTTGCATATAATTCTCTGGGACTACCCCAGGCCCGCCTGCCACCCCACTGCAGGATGGCAGTTTTGAAAATGAGGGATGCTCTCCAAAGAGGATGACTTTAGATGACATGCAGACCCTGCTTTCAATCAAGATCAAGGAGAGAAATGGGTATTTCTCCTCGGTGTTTTAACATGTGACATTTAGATTGTGCCAGGCCTTTTAAAATCATTCATTCCTTGAACACTCCCAACAGTCCTAAAGGGAAATATTATTTATGAACCCGTTTTACTCATCTGACAACTATGACAAAAGGTTTAAGTAACTTGCTCAACATCACAGAGCTGAAAACTTGCCCCTGATTTGAATCTAGCCAGCCTCTCAGGAGAAAGTGTCCATGATCAAGCCTTGCTTTGGCACAGGTATGTCGTTAGCACTTCTCTATTACTGGAAATCTTTTAAACAATGTCGAGCCACAAGCTCAACCATAGGCTGTGACAAAAGAAATCCATATGTGTAATATATGTATCTATATATGTGTACACAAGACATACATTTCTAGTTTTTCTTTCTTTCTTTTTTTTTTCTGAGACAGAATCTTGCTCTCCCCCAGGCTGGAGTGCAGGGCTGCACAACAAACAGCTTTCCCTCCACAAATGGAGGGACTAACTTGTCATTAACAAGACATCCAGGAACTTTTTCCTTCCTAAGCCACGCTCAGCAAGCTGCACAGACTGCCATGGCTGTGTTCTGAGAACTTCTGTAAATAAAGTATTACTAATTACGGAGATGATGAAATCAAAAGCAAAATTCCAAAACAACTTTATCTGCAGCCCACAATCACACTGCATCTTGCTGAGAGCATGCTGGTTTGAAGTAGTCAAGAGCTGGAATTTGTAAGAGGAAGAAACAGCCTGACCTTGAGAGAAACTTACAGATTCAGAGCCAAGTCCCAACAGGGAGCTCTCAGGGTTCAGAGAGTGTCCTGAGTGTGCTGTCTGTGACACTGGGTAGGCCAAGCCTGATGGTTCCTCATGAAAATGCCCTGGCCTGTGCTGCTGAAGGTGTGTGGTCCCCAGTGGGGCCAGTCTGCTATTTCCAGTCTGCAATGCAAATCATGTGCAGAGTTTGTAAATCTTCAATTTCTCTATTATTTCCATACATATTTATTAATTTTTTTCTGGTAAAATGTAAAAAAATGGGTTCTGTATTTTGTGTTTCATTATCTTCATAATTGATACTACTTTATTTACAAAGGTTTAGGTCTGGGATGGATAAAAAATGAAAACTGTCCCTTTACCATGGAGTCTGAGAAGCCTTGTGTAGGATTCAAGCAACTGAGGCTTAGAATCAACGTCCTGCAGTCACTCTCAAGACTAAAATCTGATGACAAACTAAACTTGGGCAGGGAAATCCGAGAATAAAAATGAGGAATGGAGAAGGCTCTGTGCAACACTTAACATGATTGGAGGTGATCATCTATGTCCCGTCCCCATGTGATCCGGCACAGTGCAGGGGCATTTTACAGAAGATGTGGCTCAGTGAGTTAACCAGGCTTGCCTGAAGGTTCTCTGACTGTTAGGGACTCACATTTCCATCTAGAGCCCAGTCTCTAAACTCCCAGTTCAATCTCCCACCCCAATCCCTTATTGCAAAAAACAGAATGGGAACCAGAACCAGATTGAAGCCTAACTGTTTAATTATTATTCACATATTTCAGAGAAACAGGAATGTAGCAATGGGTTGGGGTTGTAGAAAAAAAAATCCTGGATTTTTTTGTGTCACTCTATTTATATCTGGGAGCAGGGCTATCCAGACATCAGGCGCAGCAGCTGCACTTCTCTGATGCCCCTTTGCAAACGCAGCCCTGGGCACACTTGGCACAGCCCGCCGGGCAGCAGGAGCAGCAGCCTGGGGAGAAAGGTGAGAGGGAGAGGTCAGAGCAGACTTGGCCAGGGACCATCCTACACCATCAGAGGTTTGGCTTAACCCCTGCCTCCAGCCCCAGAGGATCCTTAGTTCAGGATAGCATGGCTTTGTCAGGAGACAACTGGTGGATGTTGGGGTGGGTCTTTCTATGAGAAAGCTCCCCAACCCCACAGGAGCCCTGGACAGGGCAGAAGACTGGAAAAGCAGTGACAGCCTACAGGGACAAAGAAAGGCCAATCCCCCAGCAGCAGCTCTCAGGGCCAACCTCGGGCTCCCTCCCAACCTTAGCCACAGCCCCAGATTCCTGGAGATGGTCCCACACTCACTCTTCTTGCAGGAGGTGCATTTGCACTCTTTGCACTTGCAGGAGCCTGCACAGGCACAGGAGCCACCTGCAAGAAAAAGAAAAAGGCATTGAGCGCTGAGTGAGATGCAGAAGGTATAGCAGTGGGTCAGTGAGTCTCCAGCGCCTCCTCCTGTGTGCAGGGGCAGCCCGCAGAGCTCCTTTCTCACTCAGCAGAGGAAGAGAAACCCCCTGTTCTCTCCCTTCATGCTGGGGAGAGCAAGTACCCTCCTGTTTGCACTCCAGAGGAAAGTCCCAGGCTCCGGGCACAGCTTGGGAAGACTGTGACTTCGACTTTCTGTCCTGAACCCCAAAGCGGCAGTGTCCCCTGCCTCCTATCTAAAGCGGCTGCTCAGAGCCTGGTTAGAGCATTAGGGCTCAGCCAGCAGCCCGTGACCAACGGGGTGATGTGGAGCAGGACAGCCTTGAGCCTCAGGACCCTCGACTCTGACATAGAGGCACAGGCAGGAGGAAAACGCATTTAGGAGCCTGGCCAAGAGGAGAGCCCTGGATGAAGTAAAGAAGTCCCCTACAGCGCAGATCGCAAAATACGACCTCCTCAAACCCAGAAACTCTACGGTGCCTGGGAATTTGGCATCCCAAGGCACAGAACCCGGGCGTCCTTTACCAGCAGCACAGGAGCAGTTGGGGTCCATAGCAAGCCGAGGTGAGACTGGAGTTCCCAAGCGAGAAGCGAAGGGGCAGTGGAGCACGTGGAAGGCCGGGTGGAGCTCAACAGTTGGCGGATGTATTTATAGTCAGGGGAGGGACCCGGGAGCAGAGACCCCGCCCCGCCCTTGCACCCGCCCCGCTTTGTCTGTGCGGCCCACGATCCTTGGCTGGAGTGTGCGCAGCAAACAGGCCGGGCGCAAAGTAGCCTGAGTGCAGCTCAGTGTACACCGCGGGGCCGCTCCTTTCCCACCTGCTCACGCAGGAGGCGCTGTAAACCCGGGTGGGCTGCTTCTCTCACCTACCAGGCCTTCCTAGTTCCTTGAGATTACCTGCTAGTCCCGCCCCTTGGCGTTCCGCGTGAGCCAAGATCCTGACCTTCGCCCCACACCCCCGGGTCTGCCCGGGTTTTGTCAACAGCTAAGCCTTTCCTGAAGTCCGAGTGAAACCCCAGTCTCGTGATCAACTCTCTGGATTGGCGGTAGCAGGGAGCACAGCAAGATAGTCGTGTACAAAGGACAGGCTGAGGATGTGACCTTCGGATCTCTGGCTTTGCCTGTCCCTGTCCCCTTTGCCATGTCAGTCCTTCAGCCACGTTTCTCCTGTGCCCAGCAACCCGGAAGAAACAGGGTCCTGCCTCCCTTCCTTCCATTCTCCACACTTGAGAGTCTGAATGGGCACATTTGTCTGGGTCCTCCTTTTGCATAAATCTCTCCAGCCTCTCCCCACAGCCTAGTCACTTGCCGTGTATGAACTCTCACATACCCCAACAGCCAGCCACTGCTTTTGTAGTCAGGGAGGGGGGCTGGGCGCAGAAGACCCGGGCCTGCCCTTGCACCCGCCTGGCTAGTCAGCACCCCCATAGGTCCTACTCTGGGCTGTGCACAGTAGACAGGCCGGGCGAAAGGTCCCCTGAGGGCAGCTTGGTGTGTGGGTGGGAGACCCCGCAAGTGCCAAGACAAGGGTCTGAAGCCTCAGCCAGACTGGGGTGCAATGGTGCAATCATGGCATACTGCAGCCTCCAATTCCTTAGCTAGATGGATTCTCCTGCCTTAGCCTCCAAGTAGCTAGGATTACAGACTTGCACCACCACACCTTGCTAAGTGTTTATTTATTTATTTAGAGGCAGATGTCTCCCTATGTTCCCAAGGTTGGTCTCAAACTCTTGCTGTCAAGTGATCCTTTCATTTGAGCCTCTCAAAGCATGGGGATTATAGGTGTGAGTCACCCTGCTCGGCCTGATTTTGTATTTTGTGTTTGATCTCATGATTTCCATTATTAATATTATTTCATTGACCAAGGTTTAGGAGGAGTTTGAGAAGCCCCATGTAGGATTAAAATAACTAAGGAGTTTGATTCCATCCCCTGTAGTCATTTTTGAACCTGAAATCCAAAGAGGAATTGAAATTGGGCAGAGAAATCAGAGAAGGAACAGGAGGCATTGAGAAGTTTCTGTGCCACATTTGAGAATGAAGGTGGCCCTGTATCCCAGATTTCCACCAATGACCTGATGCAGGGATATTCCATTCTACAGAAGATGAAGCACAGTGAGGCAGCCTCGCTTGCCTTAAGGCTCTCGGATTGTTAGGGGCTCACATTTTCATCTAGAGCCCAGGAATCTTCACCCCCAGTTCAATCCTCCACCCCAGTGTCTGATCTCCAAAGCACACAAGAGAAGCTGAAGTCAGAATCAGGTCTAAAGTGTTTTATTATCACTCACATGTTTCATAGGAAAAGGAATTTAGCAAATGGGTTACAGTGGTATTTTAAAAATCCAGATTTGTAAATATGACTGTTTACATCTGGGAG